TCCCACATGCACGCGACTTTCTTTTGTTATTTATGAGAGTTCTTCTGGTTAAGATTAATATCGCTGAATTCAAAATTTTGGAGCGACGAAGTTCTATATTATAACTTCACAGTCCACACATACACTCTTCTTCCGAGTTCTGTGCTTTCCCTTCCCCATTTTCGCTGGTAACCTCTCTTTTCCGTCTTCGTTCTTGTGATTTGGTGTCCATGATTGTGGGGTCCTCTTTGCTCTTTTCAACAGACTCAATTTTTTTTTTTTTTTTTTAGCTGCAGCCATATTTCCTGGCCGGTCTGCTCTGGGCTGAAATTTGGAGGTTGAGTTCAGTTCGATATGAACCTAAGCGGTACTGGGTTTGAAAATCCTATTGGCTGTTACGATGCTGCGATTCAAGTACCTTTCTCTCCCTTTTGATTTGTTTCTTGCCTTTGTTCGTTTTAATTTAATTCATTTGAAATGTTGGGGGGGGGGGGGTACGAATTCCTGCCACAAGGTAGTTGACTTATTTCAAGTTTTAGCATAGGGGGATATGTCTCCAGGGGCTTCTTATGTACAATGGGAGTGTTTGTTGATAGAGCTGAAATATTGAGTATCGAAGTGTAATTGATTTTTTTTCCCCGTTTACTGCAGCAATGAAACCGTTCTAGTTCTTGCGTGTGTGGAAGTGCTGATGTACTAGAAGCATTGGGAGTGGCTATTGACTTGGATCCTGAGGTTAGTGCAAAATATATCTTTAAAGGCTTTTGTCCCTATACGTCTTAAATATTTATGCCATCTTCCGTTAAAAAAAAAAAAAAAAACCTGTTGAGGATTTCTTTTAACTTGCTACTTTAGAAACTTAAAGATAGCTTTTGTTTTCCCATTTAACTTTGAGATAGTTCAATGGCTAATGATGTTCAGATTTAGTTAGTTTTTAATACTGATAGTTTTTGTTTTCCCTGCAGATTGGTGGCAGGAATTAATACTGAAAGGAAGATGGAGAGTCAGAAAGCAAAGTCAAGGTCTTCTGAAGGCCGGATTCAACGGAATCTGGCAGATAAAGATGTAAAATTCTTTCCTCCTTCTCCCCTCCATGAGCACTTGACTGTTGTCTTTTTATTTGGATCCTTATCCCCCGAGTGTCCCTGTTTGTCTTGTTTTGGAGGGATTTAATCTAATGGTTTAAATGTTTGTTAGCTGCGGCTGTAGCAGCATTGGTAAAAATGTGTATTCTTTACGACTTCTTGACATTGACATAGTGCTTAAATGTACCACTAGAATCATGAATTTTCCTTGGTGAGCACCCTCTTAATCCACGTTTTTCATGTGATGGAAAGAAAAATAAAAAGAAATAAAAGAAGATATTAGAATGACATTGAAGATTTAAAGACCAAAGATTTTACTTTCATATTAATTATAAATATGTTATTTTAATTTCAATTATTGTTATCTTTTACTCCTTCTGTTAAAAATAAAAAAATATAAGGCATTTTTAACCAAATCTCACTCCCCAATAAAGTAGTTACCTACTTTCAAACTAACCCTATCTTTCCATATTTACCCCTATTAAACAACCTATGATAAATATAAAGTCACTATCAACAGGGGCATTTTTGAAAAAAAGGCAATGATTACACCTAAAAAGATTAAAAATGCCTTACGTTTTTTAACATCCAACTCCTCAAAAAATGCCTTATATTTTTGAACGGAGGGAGTAGCATTTATGGCTATCTTTTCATTTATTGTTATCTTTTGATTTAATTTTAGGATTTTCATGCATTTATTTCTAGGGTTAGGTTAAGGCCTATTAAATAGCACTTCAACTCATTTGATTTGTATGCACATTTGATTGAATAAAAATTACTGCCATCTTGTCTCTCTTTTGAGTTTCTCTCTTCACTTTGTATTCTCCCTACTGATTCATTTCTCTTGTTTCTATATTCTCTTCTCCCTTCTTCATTTCCATTCTGCATCAATTGACATTAGAGCTAAGATCCCACTCCTCTTTTAGTACCAAACCCACTCTAAAATACTTTCCCATTATTAATAGTCATCATATATAAACACTTTGAGGGATAAGTTTATAACTTAAAGCTCCTTAAATTACTTGGTAAGATTTTTCAATCCTAAATTTTAATCTTTGAGTCTTTTGGATTTTACAGAGATATTCATTTTGGTTCCTTTACTACTTGTTTTGTTTCCTAATTCCTTTTTCTTATTATTCCTGTTTATTTCTATTTTCTTTCATATCAAATCATTCTACCATATTTTCCTTCTTTTTGTTAATATTATGTTTTATTCCCTTAATTTTCTTATTTAATTATTTTTCATATTTTTCTTGCCCTCCTTTGCTCATTTGATTCGTCTTTTGATTTAATACTGAAAAAAAAGAGGGCCAAAAAAAAAAATCCAAAAGAAAAAATAAAAAAAAAGTTTGAAAAAAATAAAGCAAGCAAAACATTCTGAGTGCTAACCGAAGCAGTAACAGCAAAATAAAGCAAGCAAATGGTGACTCTAGCACCTAAACTGAATCTAAGCCACCAGACCATACATCATGGCTAATCCATTATTTCTGGATCCTCAGGATATTGCTTCTGACCCACTGGGTATTTCTTTTCTGCACCCACCTGCCCCCTTGATCTCCTCTTGTAAGTCTGACCATATCTCACGGTTACATCAGTTTCATACAGGTTGAGCCATTAATCAGCTGTCCTTGTGATAGAGCAAGTGAGCGTCCCGCCCTTCAGCAATTTTAGCAAATGTATATCCCAAACGGAGTCCTTCTATCCCTATCCTCCTCATCATATTTATATGAAAAGGGACTAGAATTCAATAAGTCATTGCACCTGAAAGAAAAGGATTACACATATGGCTTGAAAATAATAATTTTGCTTCTTATGAAAGTTATGCTTTTGAAAGAAAAGGATTACACAGATCATGCAGGTGCAATGACTAAATTTGCAAATGGCCAAACAAACCCCGATGTATACTATGTAAATGTGTCATTAAGTTCAATTTCCCTTGTGGTGTTTGTCAATTTTGTTGGATACCTGATCAGTGTGTCTGTGCTTTTGAAGTTATAACATATTGCATATGTTTTTTTCTTTTTTCCATTTACAAGAGTTCTTCTACCAGTACACACTCTACATTGTTGCATTTCACTCCTTTCCTCTTTTTCGGTGCCACTACTTTTATGTATGCTGCTTTAGTAATGCTTTTACTTTAGGAAGTGGGTGGGTATTGATCAAATATCTCTTCAGCAATATGCTAATATTTATGAATTGATGCATCCATATAATTTCCAGCTAACCCTTGGTGTCTTAACATAGTCAATGTTATTTAATGAGGCATATTTTTGATCTATCAGTGTTTGTTCTGCCCCAGCTTCTGTGTTCTTGGAAAAGGGGAGCAAAGTATATAAGAATGCGTTTCTGCAATACTGATGGTGTCACATCTCAAAACAATTTTAAATGGGTTTGAATAACTTGCAGATTCTGGTTATTAGTGGAATACATTCATTGATGCCATGCTATTCTTTGGTGAAACATGGCATGCTGCTGCCTTCTGTTATGGAAGGGTTTAGAGGTAATCTATTCTCGCTTTTTGCCAAGGAATTGTAGGATATATGGCAAATTCACCTTTTTAATTCACTCATTTAGGCTTGATGATGCCTAAACGGCTCCTATTTATGTCCTACAAGAAAATTTTATTTGACTGTAAGTTGAAAGGATCTATAAGTATATAAGTTGAAAGGATCTATAAGTATGGGTTTTTGGTCGTAGTTGTATAACTGTCCCATATTCTGTATTGTATTGGATATTTCTGTCGACCTCATCTAGGCTACATAATTTGGGTACCATGCCTTTCAAAAGTAATTTGAACATTGTTTACCTTTGTGGCTTCCAGCCTTGTTGGGATGCAATTCACAAGCATCATGGGAATGCTATTCACATATCTTGTTTAAATATTTGCAGTCTTCTACTGATGCGCATAGCGATGATGAACCATGACATTATTGTGTTGAAAAATTGGACACTTTCTATTTTTGTAAGTTTAGTTCTAAATTTATTTGGATTAATGTTTTGAATTTAAAGATTTTTAAAACTGTCCTCATTTTCTGTTTTTCTGATAAAAATTTAAAAAATTGATGGAGGACTAGAGAGAAGAGAGAAATATGGTAAGAAAAAAAATAAAATGATAACAATTTCTTATTCAATATTCTAAAAATCTTAAAATTAAATTGAAAAACGATGAAAAATGTAACAACAATTGAGAAAATTCTAACAGATAAGCATAATTTTAAATAAATGTAAAATTACCACTGTTAAAATGGGTTGTGCCTCAATTATTAAATTTCTTTTAAATATCTCTTTCGTGGATTTCCAATATGAAAAATAATTAATAATGTTTTGGGGGAAATTATGTGCTATAACTTATCGGATACTGGACAAAACAGGGAGAATGTTAAACAATCCCATGATGTAAGATGTAAATTTGAATTTAATTTTTGGAATGTTATGTGGATTCCATTTCAAAATGATTTGGAACCTGAGGCAAAAGTTCTTGCATTGGCTGACAAGCTTCTAATAAATTAGTCCATTCTCACTCTTTTTCAACTTCAAAATGCAATAGGGGCCAGGGAAAGTATCTTATTAGCAGCACTAGGAGAAATCCTTCCCGGGTACCCCTGCCTACCTGGTACCCACCTGTGTCTATAATTAATCAGAGGCACTACCATAATGTTAAAACACGTGCATGCCAAAAGATATGCTCGTTGTTTGAACGATTTTCCCTTTGATAAAGATTAAAATTATGGTCCATGAACTGAGAACCCTTCGATGACAAATGAAAATGTCGAGTGTTGACTTTGAATGACTCTGCTCTGACTAGATGAATCACTTTGGAGTTCTGCAAAATTTCTCTGCTTTGGGATAAAACCTCTTCTCTCTCCTGACCCCCATGATCAAACTAGGACCTCATAGTTTGAATTATTCCACACATGCTCAGAGGGGTTTTAGTGGTTTTCTAGTGTAGGCTATCATTTGTATGTCAAATGATGTTTCAATACATTATATCTCTTTATTTGGCAGACAAATTGAACAGATTTCTGAGCTGAAACACCAAGTGCAGGAAGTTACATAACTGGACTAGTTTCAAATGACTAATTAAACATCATACTGAGACAGGCCTAAAAAAAATGTCATACTGAAAGAAGCATGTCTTAACTAATTACTAATACTGAGTGCAATGGAGAATTACTTTGGATGGCCTTCCTTCATCTTGATTTAAAGGGGTACTTTGGGTGGCTCTAATACAGGATATAGAGGTTCTTGCAATTCTGGATTGATGGGAAAGAGATTACATTGTGCATATTGTGCCATCAATTGGTCCACAAGTACCAAGGCTACCATGGCTTCCACAATAGGTGCAGCTGCATCAAACAATATATATCAGAGAAATTTCATTTTCTCGTAATGAAAATATTGTTAGAAATAAAAATAAAAAATAAGTTAATGACATCAAGAAAAAAAGAGAGAAACAGCAGAAATTGAGGTGTTGCTGACATGAAAGAAGACTATTATGTACCTCTTGGGACTACACAAGGTTCATGTTGACCACGAACTATGAGTTCTGTCTCTTTCCTGTCTCTAGTCACAGTATGCTGCTTTTTCTGCACACAAGTGTTAGCTCTGTGTTACACTTCATATAAAAAATATTCTGGGCAGTGAAAAACAAGAACAGACATGTACTTTTGGAGCAAAGTAGTAGTAGATTGGTACCATGATCATCATTTTATATGATATTATAAGCTTCTTCATAACCATAAGGTGTAAAATTATTTACTTGAATGCTTAAGTTAACATGTTTATCTACCAACTTTCGAAAGAAGAGAGGTAGGACTTACTCTAATAGTTGGTGTTGGCTTGAAAGCGATTCTCATGTTAATGATTTCTCCGTTGGAGATTCCACCCTGATTGTCAATGTACATAAATATCAGTAAAGCATATGTATTAGTGCAAGCTCATCAGACAGCTCATCCAGAAACAATTCAAGAAATTATAAGACAGTACATACCTGAATCCCACCAGAGCGATTTGTTTTTGTTCTCACCTTTCCATGCTTGTCTATATAAAATTCATCATTGTGCTCACTTCCAGTCAAAAAAGTACCTATAATGGTCTCATTAACTAGTCCATCAGAACACATCCATGATGCAAGTAAGGAATTTTGTAGTGGTTTTTCTGTTTATTGCTGGTTACTGTAATGTCTAATTTCTACTGTGATGGCTGCTTGTACTCATTATTAATCAATGAGATAGGATTTTCTTGCTATGTTCTATCATAAGCTAACTCATTCTTTTCAATAAACTAGTGTCTGTTCATTCAAATCAATCAGTAAACTTGAAAGGACAAAGAAAATGAGATCAAAATATTAGCAGGATGAACAACCCGTAAAGCCACTGCCAAATTGGAAGCCATTGGTTGCCGGAATTGATAGAACAGCTTTGCCAAGTTCAGCCCCAAGTTTGTCAAATACCGGCGAACCTAGGCCCTGAAAAATATTAGTGTTCACTATTCTAATCAGAAAGCAACGATGAAATCATGAAATGACATGCTTCATTTCTTTTTATTTGTCTATCTTTTGCGAAAATCTTGTGGCAGAACATGCTAGTCATCAAATATTATATGGACAAGACTTCTATATTCTTGGAGGAGTGACAAAACGTGTTAACTCAAAACCTAATGGGACCTATTAGGAATGGGGTTGTGAACAAATGGATGAAGAGATATCACATTTTAACTCAAGACATCAAAGCTTAAGCTTATGAAGCTTTACAATTTATTATATATCTAGCTTATGTGGAACTCCACATCGATTGAAATCTGCTAACATTTAGACATCTTAACAAAACAATTTGTTACTCATGAAAAGTTTGAAGCACCCTTACTCGCCCATCTCCTTCTTTATATCCGTCACTTTTTGAAGCTGTGAATAATATGACTCATCCATTAGCATTGTATATACCATCTTTTTTTAGCACTCCTTTTTTTTTTTTTTAAGATATTATATATTGGTAGCACATAGGTCCCAAAGCACAAGACCTAGGCGTAGAACCTTTGTGCTGTTTATTACTGGTAAAAGTTCAATTGTGCACAAATTCCTACTTGCTGAGTTGCTCTGCAATTTCCCACGAGACCTTGGCAGTCAAAGATGAAGAGAAACTTACACGTGGGCAGTTTCTTACAATACAAGTTATCACGCCACCAACCGAATCACCTTTCATTCTAGCATCATCAACAACAGCTATCATCTTTTCTGCATATTGAGGGTCTGGGCATCGGACAATATTACTTTCAATCTGAAAACATGTGGAAAATAATAGATGAGATCTTAGTATCTTGGGAAGAGCATTACTAATACTTGATGAGTGATAAGTAAAAAGCTTGAATCATCAAGTAAAAAAGCAATTAACTTCAATAACTGCAAGCAACTCCTCATTCAGCCAAAGGGGCAAACAATTGGACCCATAAATTTGCTTAGTTTATTACCCTAAGAACAGAATGGGATAGGAGGTTTTAGCATACTGATCTCTAAAATTGCCTCATGACAAGAGCTAAACACGGAAAATCTTAATGTTGTGTTAAATTAATGAGAATTTAAATTTAAATTCGAGCAAATTTATTTTTTTATTATAATTTTAAATTCCCTATATACTTTAATTATTTGAAATTTAGCAACTTCAACTTTCTCGTTTTCTTTCAATTTTTATTATTGGTGCCTTTGTCGCTTTTGCCTCTTATCTCTCATTCCCATATCTCACCAATTAAAAAATAAAGATAAGCTTGTCCTTTCAATCTTTTGTTTTTTCTTCAAATATTAGCTCATCTCTCTTCTTTAATTTTTTTTATTTAATTTAAAATACATAGATTTTAAAGGTCAGAATTTAAATCTAAAATTTAAATCCATCAATCCAAACACTACATTAAATTTTACAAAATGCTTCTTACAAAAAAGAAAGAACATGCTCCATGATCCTTAAATGACTAACCGTTCACAAATGGGTCATATACAGTTTTAAGACCCACAAGTAACTTCCAGCAGTTGAACATGAAGTTACTAATTATGAGCATTTAGTACCTGATCAAGGGTCAGAGTGTCATGATCAGTCAGATCCTCAGGAAGAACAACCTTATTGACTTGAGAGGTATAGGCAAGAACCTTGATCAGTCAAAAGAAACCTCTAATCATCAATGACCAAGCATTATTATAAAGCCATAATTCCAGCTCAACTGTAGAAACAATCACACACCTCAGTTCCTGAAAACTCCTTGAGGATTTTCCTTGCAACAGCACCAGAAGCAACCCTTCCAATTGTTTCTCTTGCTGAAGATCTACCACCACCCTAAGACATCAGAAGTCCCAAAACTATGATCTTATATAGCAGATGTGATGCAATAAAATTTTCGCAAAATTAATTATTTTGTTGCTATAGTTTTAACTCAATTATAACTTAATTCCTAAACTTTTACTCATTATAATTTAATTATTATAATTTTGACTTGGTTCTAATTTAATTTTTAAACTTTGACTTAGTGCAACTCAATCATTAAAATATTAATTCCTACATTTTAAAAAATAAAATTATAAGAACTGAAGTTATTTCTTGAAAATTAGGGACTAATGTTTTAGATTACTTAAATTATAAAGATAGAGTTATAATGAGTTAAAATTTAAGGGTATAATTGTAAGATGATCAAAATTTAGGGATTAACTTACAATAAATTAAAATTACATGAAAAAAATGATTAATTCTCTAAACTGATGAAGTCGATGTTCGTCTTGCTCAGATAAAGTTTTTTGTGTCCATCAGTAAAATCACACAAAAAGCCACTTCATCACATTGGAAAAAGTCAGTACCTGCACTGATCTGACGCCATACTTCATATCATAGGTTGCATCTGCATGTGAAGGCCTATAAGCTAAGAGCATCTCACGATAATCCTGAATCAAAAACAAGACAAAAAGATCCGTGAGTAAGGCAAATAGGTATTTGTCTTTCTTTATTCAATACTTAACAATACAAAATTAAGCAAGCAGCCTTAGTATTAAATACTCACATCTCCTTTCTGTTCAATATTAGGAACAAAGACATGGATGGGAGTTCCTGTAGTAACTCCTGCAATGAAATGAAGAAGAAGAAGAAGAAGAAGAAGAGATCACCTTTGGTTCATTTAAATTACATATATCATAGAACTTCTCAGTTAATAATGGAAGGAACAAAGCTTGACCTTCAGAAACTCCTGACAATATTTTACACGTATCAGTCTCTTTTCTAGCAGTAGTGAGTCGGTTCTGACCCGGCCTCCTGTAAATGCAAAAGCAAAATTATTCTCTAGAGACGTGTTGTATCAGGAATATGAAATCATAAATTCTTTAGTATTTTAATTTTTAGTCCTTATTTTTATTTCATTCTTCTCAATCTCTTTAATTTAGTTCGTGTGCCTATTATTTTAAAAACGCACATGAGTACTTTGAGCAGGCAATGGCAGAATTAGTTTTTGGTTTACTCCAACTCTTTTAAGCCAAATATAAAAGAAAGTGTTTTTAATTCTCTCTTATCTATTTATCTGGTCAATTTATTTCCATATTAGAAATTAACATAGATACATGGAAGTTAACTTCTAGGTACTAGTTTAAGGTCTTTACGTGCATTTGTAAAATTATAAACATTAACATTCTAGATGAATCAAATTAAAGGGACTAGAAGAAATAATGAAATAAAGCTAGAAAGATTAAAAACAAAACACAACCAAATTAGAGGGACATGCTATTGTATTTTCCCTAAATTATTCTATTAACAAGAAAAATATTCCCACCCGCCAGGACAAAGTAAAATAACTTTACTATTCTTGAGAAATAGAAGTTAATATCTTTGAACTTGTAAAACTTGTTTAACTTTCCAATTTTGCCCTTTACTAAGATTAATGACCACAATAAAATTTATGTAAGAATTACAACTTGGTGGAATTCAGGAGGGACAGTATTGGAGCAAAAATTAATAGCATTTAGGATCAAATAATAATTAAAATAGGATGAAAAGTTTTGGAGGGCCGTGTGCCTTCTATCAAGATGGTCTTGTATGTCAGCTTCATGCAATGGGAGACGAGGAGGGCATCCATCAATGACACAACCAATGCCTCTTCCATGGGATTCTCCATATGTTGTCACTCGAAAATGACTTCCAAAACTATTCCCACTCGCCTTTATCTCTGTAAATATGTTAATTACTGAACAATTAAATGAAATAAAGGAAATATAAGAATAATTATTTTTTTAAAAAAATAAGAATATTGATTGATTGTTGTTGATAGTTAATATATATATATAGAGAGAGAGAGAGAGGGAAAATTGCAAATAGTTCCCGTACAAAAAATTTATTTATATTTAAGTCTCAGTAAAATTTAAAAACTACAACCAAAACTCTTAAAACATGAATGTAATTTAAGGTTGAGATGTAAAGATATTACTCCCTCTGTTTAAAATTGTAATGTATTTTTTGAGAGGTTCAATATTAAAAAATATAAAATATATTTAGTCTTTCGAGGTATAATTATTACCTTTTTTTTAAAGCCCTACTCATAAATGATTTTATATTTATTGAAGAGTATTTAATGAGGATAAATATGAAAAGACAGAGTTAATTTAAAAATAAATAATTGATTTATTGGGGAGTAAAATTCAATTAAAAATATTTTATATTTTTGAACAGAGGAAGTATTTGTCTCTGTTAATTTAATTTTCATTTATAATACTCAAAAGTCAAATTTCTTATTTACTGTATAATATAACAACCAAATTACTTGTAAATTGTGAAGTTTGATTTGTAAATTATGAATTTTTCAATTATAAATTTTGGAATTACAATTGTAAATAAAAGTTAAATTAACAAGACAATAGTGCATTTGCACCAAAATCATAAATAACACTTAAGTCTTACGGCTTTGGTTATAGTTTTTGAATTTGTACATGACATATCTTAATTTTCCCATACGTTGGTTGCTGATGCCTTCGGATGGAAAGCCTTTTTATTTAAATATGCGTTTCGACCTTAAATTAATACATCTATCATATGAAGGAGAAATACATATCTAATTAGTATAAATTGTTATGAGTAAGGTTATGTTTTTCAATACAAAAATCGATAGTTTTAAAATTAAAATATTTTTAAGAATATATATTTAACTTATTTTCAAAAAAAATATGTTTTTCTTACAAAAATAATAGCAGACACTTTGTTTCTGTAAGCTTCTACTTACAGAAGAAATTATTTCCTCCAAAATATTGAGAATAAAAATATACTACCTCCATTTACAAATACAATACATTTTTAACTGAGTCTTATCCCCTAATAAAATAATTATATACTTTTAAACTAATTTTATATTTTTATATTTACCCCTATTAAACACCTTACAATAAATATAAAATTATTTATTAATAAGAGGTGTTTTTTGAAAAAAAGAAACAATGATTACATATCAAAAGATTAAAAATATTTTATATTTTTTAACATTTAACTCTTTAAAAAATATCTTATATTTTTAAAAGTTAGTATATCATCCAAAATTAATTGTTTAAGTGACAAAAATCTTTCTTTCTAAATAAAAAGAGAGTGCAATTTTGGTAAGTAGAATGACACTTAAGGACCTTAATGCATTCGTAAAATTAAAATCTGATTATTAATGCGAATCATTCAATGATTTTCTACCTACAATTGATTTAAAAAAAATTTTATATCTCCACAAGCCTGAATTTTTTATAGTGCTTACAAATTTTTTTTTTTTTAAATCCTTTCTTACATACATATATAAAACCTTCCTTCACACAAACATACATCATAACGATAGAAATAAGAAGGTGAGGAGACTGATGAAGGGAAGAAGCAGAAGATGAGAGGAAAGAGAGAGCTTACGGAATGGCCTGGGAATGCGACGACCATGACGAGGAACTGATGAAATGTGGAAATCTGAAAGAAGAGAAGACACAGACGAAGACGCCATTGGAATGAGCAATGGAGAAGACAGAAATGCAATGCAGAGGCCAACTTTACTAAAGCAGGGGAGAGGGAGAGGGAGAGAGATATCCAGAAAAGGAAAAGAAGTGCAGCAAGTTGCCATTATAACGCTGTCATTTGTCAGAGATCTGACCCGCTGCCATTATTACATGAGCCGGAAATTTTCAAGCCTGGGAAAACTTGACCACAATGATTAGTACTTCAACATGCAAATGATGAATCTTTATAACTTGAAATGTGCTTTTCAAGTGAACTTGTCATTTTAATACATGAAGTGCACTTTAATAATTAACCAATAAAATTTAATTTTAATTTAATTCCTTAATTTTAAAAATATATTTTATATATATATATATTTTTAGAATTTACAGTATAGTAAGTAGCCTAAAATATCTTCTTATTTGGCTCTTTAAAAAAGAGTCTTAATAGTATTCATTCCAGTGAAAGAGGCTATGATGACTCAAGTACAAAGTTTCAAGTTTTAACGTATATTAACGGAAAAGAAAGGTCTTTAAAAACCTACCCTTAATTTGGCGAGACAATTCTTAAATCTCATTCAAGAAAACATCCATATTTAAAATAAACATTCACGTAAATGAATCAGTTTCGATGGAAATGAATAAAGGCTGTCTTTCATTTACTTTTAACTTTGTGTTCTTATCTTATCCACGTTCTCACCTGCATCATCTTTTAATGAAGAAACCTGCCACATGGTCCACCTCACAGACGAAGTCTGAGTTGTATTGGTGATCGATAAGAATGGCCCATTGAGAAGGTTTGTTGAGATTTGAAAAGTATTTGAAGAAGGAAGGTTATCGTATTATTTGGCTTTTGCCACCAATTTGATTGGAGCCTACGTCAGCGGATATTTTCTGATATATATAGCTTCTACTTCATTATTTTATGCATCGTGAGGGACAAAGTAGGAAGAAAGTCGTTATAACCTTACCTTTTATTAGGTTTGAGCTAATTATAGCATAAAATTAACTTGCTTCACGATGATTAAAGAATGATAATTAATATTATTAAGCTTGTAAAAAATGATTAATTTTCTAATTTTTCTATATAAACTGAGATTAATTATTACAATGAAGTGTAGCTAAGATTTAAAAGTTTGTCAACAACTTGGTATAACTTTTTTTTTTTTAACCAACAACAACTTGGTATAATTAACTATGGTAATATTGTAAGAAAAATAATTACCACTATATCTTTATCTTATATTTAAGACCAAATAAAGTTTTAAAACTGTGCCCTACAAATATATTTGTATACGTTTTGCCAAGAAAGATTATGCAAGCATCGTTGATATTAAAAGAACACATTTAAAATGATAACTCTCTGGTTAAAAATGCCGACAAAAGAAGAGCCCAGCATAATTATCTGAATTAGTATGACCAATTTTGGGATATTCCCTCCATATGAAACTTTTAACCCTCAAATTTAATGCAGTTATTAGTTTAACCTCTCAAATTTAATTTTTATTAATTTAATCCTTTAAATTTATTTCAATTATTGAGTTGATCTCTTATTATTTAAAGAAGAAAATAATAATTTTAAAATCTATTGACATAAATAAAAAAATGTTATGACAATCATGTAAATTAATGAATAAAAGTGTAATTATTTAGGCAGAAAAAAAAACTTGAAAGTTTTTTAAAATAAAAGAACAAAACACGAAATAAGGGATTTGATTACTAAAAATTAAATTAATTTGAAAGTTATTTTTTTTCTTATTTAGCTACAAATACATTTTAAGTTATCAATACAGTTTATATATTAGATTAAATATATAATCAATTTATGTTTTAAAACTTAAAAGACTAACATGATAATTTAAGAACAGGCAAGGGACCAAATCAATAAAATTAAACTTAAATAAACAAATAAATAATTATTAAGACAAATTTAAGGAATTAAAAGTTTTATTATGGCATAAAATAACACTAAATAAGAAAATGAATTACATCATATCCACAAAACGATGAAATGGTTAGATTGGACCCGTATGATGCAAACATTTCCAGACTTTCTCTGCTTTGAAAGCCAACAAAGCTGTTGTTAGTAACCTCTACTCAAAATGGATCACAGCCTTTGCTGGAGCCTGTGTTTTCAAGATCATCTCCTCGTACTCATCTTCAGGATTTGACAGAGCAATGATAGCCCCTCCAGCCCCTATTGAAGCCTCACCCTCATGGATAATGACTGTCCTTATAACTATATTTAGATCAAATGTCTGATCATAAGAGAAAAATCCAATGCAGCCAGAGTAGATACCTCGGGAACAGCTCTCAAGAGAATCCAGAAGCTCCATTGATCTCAACTTGGGTGCACCGGTCATCGAGCCACCAGGAAACACAGCTTTGACACAGTCTACAGCACTGGCATTTGATACCTTCTTCCCTCGGATTGTACTCACCATGGTATGAACAGTTGCATATGATTCTACATCCATGAGATGAGGCACATGAACCGAGCCAGGTTCACAGACTCGACCAAGGTCATTCCTTAGAAGGTCAACAATCATCAGATTTTCAGCCTGATCTTTTTCACTGGAGAGAGAGAGGGAGGGAGGGAGAGGGAGAGAAGCTGATAGTCAGTTCATAGAAGATTCAAGTTCACCAATGTAATTGTCCATATCTTATGCCAGCATGTTTTATGTGCAAGCATTTAAAAATTCTAAAAGTATTGCAACAGGCCTGTGTTTGGCATGAAGGCATTGTATATAAGATCAGATATGAGTATGGTGGCATTAGACATATGATGTTCAAACTCCCCATAATTTTTTATTAATACCATCATCATTCCGTAAAACAGATTATATGTGCAAACTTGTGCGGGCACAACACATTTTGATGAGTCTCTCATATATCCACGTTATTCAACATATTTCCATAAACTTTGATCTTAAGCATGCAAATTGTGTTTGAAATGGAAATGGATAGATTTACAGCTACCAAGAAGAGATATCAGTCACCTGAACTGTAACTTTAATCTGAGTCGCTCATCCTCCTCTTCTGTAGCACCACGAGCTATGGTACCTTTGATAGGCTTAGCTTCCAGTATACCATTCCCATCCAACTTCAAGAACCTCTCAGGGGAAGAACAGCAGATACAGAGATCTTCGTTTGAAAAATTAAGCCAAGCAGCATAAGGTGCTGGATTCCTTTCCCTCAAGTGTAGATAAAGTCCGAGAGAATTCAATTCCTTAATATTTTTTCTTATCTGAGTTGTAAGGCACAACTCATAGCTTTCGCCATCTTTAATGTAGTTTAAACACTTCTTAACATCCTCAATGTACTGCTTTCTAGATTTTTCAGCAACAAATCCAGCCTTAGATGGAGAAAAAGTAGAAGTATGCGATTCCTTCTTTTTCATCTGTCTTGTCACAGATTTTTTTAAGTTCATCAACTTCTCCTCTGTATCATCCAACCACGGTGTCATAGTTTGGCTTCCATCATGTATGCACAGTACGTAAACATCATCATTCAGGTGGTCAATAGCAATGAGATTATCGGCAAAGAAAAAACATGCATCTGGAGTATTAGACTTGTGCCGATTAGATGTGTCACCACATTCAAGTTTGAGGTCATACCTGCATTAGAAGACATTATGATTACTAGTGTAATGTAAATTTTACTGCCAAATTATCATCTAATGAAAGTTTCAATAAAGTAAACCCACTATGAAAGGAGGTTGGGGAAGGGTCAAGAACCAAGAGAAAAGTTAAAAAAACAACAAACATAAAATTTGGTGGATATTTAGATATAGCAGGTTGTGAAGGCTATTTTAAATAATTAAATGAGAAAAGTGAAAGTAAGAGTATTGCCTGTGAAGCAGGCACTAACAAGTAGGAAAAGTTTATTTTTTTCCACCTACCCTATGTAACCAATATATCCACCATGAAAGTCAAATGGTAGACCTTCAAAATCCTTTTCATCATAACGAAATGATTGAAGCTCCTGCAACATTACCAAGCATATATTAGAGTCAAAATTCAACTTAGAGTATGAAGATGGCCATTTATAAATTGAGAGCTAACATCAGAAGCTATATAACCAAGAATGATGACTGCATCATACAAGAATGAAACGTTAAACAGTTCAACCAATTTCAGCACCTTGTTCAAAAAATCAAAAAACCCACTTTCCAAAAACATGCTTCTGCTATAACCTTGACCATCTTCAATTGACATAAAGCCTCCACCTTGTAAACTTCCATTTCTGGAACGAAAATTATATTGATCACGTCAAGTATATACAGAAATTGAAGATACTCAGTTAACACAACACAAATAAGTTACAGGATAGATTTCACACCTTTGATCTGACAATCTAAATGACAATTGTTTCCAAAGCGATCCACCTTTACCCCCCATAAATGAAAAGCGTGCCCTTCCCTACATAAGTCGGTGTTAAAAGACCCCAAGAAAATAAATTTTATAAGTCAGAGAAGCACAGAATCATGATCATACCTTTTCTGTGGAGGAACTATCCAACCAAAAGCTATTTTCAGCTTTATGATGTCCAAACAATCCACAAAATATGTTTTTTGCCCCACCAACTTGACCAGCCAAATGATCAAATTTCCTCCATTTCAACTTCAGGCATTTATAAGCAATACTTGCATGATTAAGATCAACCACGTTGGATGTTTCAGAAGGATCAATCTCGGTAGTATCAAGCATTAAATGTCTATCTCTGGAAGACACTTTATTTTGTTGATTCACAACATTATTCTCTGAGTTTACGCTGCTGTGACCTTCTCTACCCAGTTGACTAGAATAAAGAAAGTTTACTGCTCAGGGTAAATTACAAGGGATCAACATAAATAAGTCAAAGGGCCAGGTAAATTAAGAACAAACTATGGAGTATGTAATGGAAAAAAAAGGCTAAATGGCCCATTAAACACTCAATATTTAAGAGGTTTGTATCTCTACTACAACTTCATTAGACCAAACTTTTCATTTTATCTAAAAAGAATTTATATTGCCTAAAAAAATACTAAAAAGAGACAGAGTGCCTCCCCAACTGTAAAGAAAAACATCAATTTCCCAATTTAATTTTGAAACAAAAAATAAAAATAAAAATCTGCAAGCACATAAGATAGAAGTGTGTTTCTATTTAGGAAGTTCTTCAGGTTACCAGATGAATGAGCATATTTTCCCCTGTTGTTTGATGATCCAAATCTCAGCCAATAATCATATGTAATCTCTCTAAAATTTTTGAATATTTGTGTTCCATGGCTGGTAGCTATACTCTCTGGATGAAACTGAAGGTCAAAATTGTTGAGTGCAGTTGACAAGAATGAAGATAAATATAAAACAAGAGCTGAAAATATAGAATGACCATTTCTGTACATATTACCTGTAAACCATAGTGCGGTCTTGTAGAATGCTTGATGCCCATAAGAACTTGTGCACTTCTTGTCCAACCATAATGACTTGAAATGTTTGAACTTCTATTTTCTACGTCAGCAGAAACAGAGTCAGCAAACATTATTCCCTTTGTCTGTGCTTCAGAAGGATTGGTACTGTTGGGATCCTTAGACCTAAGAAGAGTACCAGCAGAATCGGTCCATGCTATGGGAATGAGATCTTGTGGAAGGGATTCAGGATCTATAACCAATGAATGATATCTAACCACCTTCAATTATAAACAAACAAATTTCAAAACTTTTGGTTGTGGATCAGATAGCTCATAATTAACTTGACGCAACAAATTGAAGGAAAAAAAGTGTAGACAAACAAAAGAATGAACTACTTCGTCCCAACTTGTGGGTATATAGCTATTACTCAAAAGAAGTACTGCATAATTACTTCAAACATATTTTTTTCAGTGACTATCAACAACTGCAAGCAGTGTCCCTTTGCTGATGTCCTGTGGCAATGGATTCCAGTTTACATATCCTCTTCCAGTGTAATTTTTGTTTTTGGGATAAGAAAAGAATATTTAAAGAGAAAGGGAGAATGCAGGACATGAAGATTGGTAATCCCTCCCAAAAAACAAAGGAGACGCGGAAATGCACATTTCCCAAAACAAAACATCCAATATAAAGATATTTCACAATTAAATTTTAGAGTTTCTCAATGCTTAAAAGACATACATGTCCATGTATCATTATCTCAAATACCATTTGCAAGATTTAAACTATTAAAGATTCAAAGGTAGCCTATTCATGTTCTTCCAAATACAGAGAGGTAAACAGACCTTAAATCCTGAATTTCTGCCAGAAGGAATATCATGAAAAAGCTCACAGCCATTATGTTCAAGTTCACTGTGCAGCAGAAAGAATAGTAATAAGAGAGAATGAAACATGCATGCTTGAGAGACCACTTTAGCAGATGAGTAAATGAAACTTGTAAGCAACCTAATCTAATTGTAAAAATTAAGTCATAAATATAGAAAAATGGGGAAAATTATAAAGATTTAATCATACCTCAAACGACCATGGACTGGTTCTGGTGCATGGACAACTTGAGCTCCATGCACAAAACCTAGAGCCTAATAAATCATATGTCAAGCAATTAAATTATGAAAAGAAAGTAAGGTAAACAGCAATTCTAAAAGGCAAGAGTAAGAAATACAATAATAAATTCATCAAAATGAATCACTACATTAATACAACAAAGACTGAGTCATATCATGAAAGTCGTGACATCAAACAAAGTTAGAGGAAGCCCTTATTGAATGATTTTACAATCAATATGGATTTTATCCTCCAAAAAGAATTACGTCTAGCACTGCCAAAGAAAGATGAAGAAAGGACTTAACAACTTGATCTGATAGGCAATAGATGGAAAATTTTGGTGTCATTAATGCATGCAGTTTGAAGTACAACTGGATTATGCTATGTTTTGTGATATTACTGCATCAATCTCCACAATCTTGAACATGACATAGCATTATTTAAGGAAAGTACTACCTTCTAGCACAGTCAACTCAGAAGACCAGAGCCAAACAAATTTCAAAAACTTAATATTATAAAAAATATAAAACAAACTCCAAATTTATGAGTAAAGCTTTACAAATGAGCCTCTACATGGAGAAAACCCATAAAAATGGGAAAAAAGAAATGAAACAGAAATTGAGATAGACATCAAAAAGGAGGGCAAACTGATGGACAAAAAAGCGGATAGATATTTAAAAGAACAAAATTAACAAATTTATACAATTGTAACCATTGTTAATATCTCAAAGAGGATGAGGAAAAAAGGGAGTAAAGCAGGTGCTGTAATCACAGGCACAGAAAGACAAACTATCTTGCAAAAAGGAAGAGCAATTACCTGGTGTCCTAGGCAAACACCCAGAATGGGGATGTCCCAGCATTTGAGCAACAGCTGAAGGCAAATACCTGCATATCCAAGAACATTTTCAATAGTATTGAACATAAAGAAACCTCTACACCTCATGAAACAAAGATCAGCCAACAATATTCACTTGATATTCAACTATAAAAGCATTTAGCAGCCGCTAATTCACAATATCAAGTTCTGGAAACTATACTGGGTAGTTTTGAAAATACAGGCATAATTACTCTGACACCCGTGTTCCAGTTACTCAGCTCGTGAAATTTTTACATGCTTTCAGTTAAGTTCAATGTGCTCTAAGAAACTGGTGAAAAAAATAAGTCAATTATATTCGGAAAATCTAGTAGGAAAGTTTTCATAGTTGACACCTCAAAGATCTTTAGATGGAGGTCCAAAATCCAAATATAATCATACATACAAATAGTGTCGGTTCAAGCAAAATAAAAAATCAAAATTTACTTGTTAATGATTTACAACTATAAATGATGTTAGAGCCTATGATAGTAAGTTATACAAAGAGGTCACCATAAAAAAATTATGTGAATTTTCTGTTAGCCCAAGTTAGTCTTTGTCCTGCTTCTTGACCCAGAGGACCTAAACTTGCACCAAAATATTTCAGAGATGAGTGAAATTCCATTAAACCACAAATGGGTGTACAAGCTGATCTAAGAAAAATATGTGATAAAAACAAGGATACAATTCATTCATGAGCCATGACAGAGTATTAAGTTACATGACCAACAACTAACTTTTCTATTGTACAGCACGAATTAAAGATACTAAAATTATGAATAAGTAATGGGCCACAACTCTAATTTAAAAAAAAAAAAAAAACACTTCAATTTACTGCCGTCAATTTGTCATTTGTATCAAAGATTATTGGCAGGGAAGCGTCTCTCACCTATATCTTTTGGGCATGATGGAGAACCAGGTCCAGGTGATATTACAATGTTATCAAATGCATTTTCCTCATACAAGTAGTGGCAAAGTTCTTCCCATGTCAAATCATCATTTCGGACCACCACAGGAGGCACTGAGATGATAGAAAACCAAAACAGTTGTTACAATGGGGATAATTTCATTACACTTTGTAAGTCATTTTAGGCCTCAGTGTGCAGTATCTTGTGATGGATTTTAAAGCATTCAGAGGAGAAGATTTAACATTCAGTCTAATATTTTGAAAAAAATGTAAAAAATATTAAGTCTAAATATGTTCTGCAAATATTTGGCAACAGTTTTCTACGTCTTTCATCACAAACACAAGCACAGTAGAGAGAGAGAGAGAGAGAGAGAGGACATACCACCATTAACCACAGACAATGCCTGGTATATATTGTATGTGTAACTGTCATAGTTGTCGATCAACAATGTCCTTACAAAATCTAGCTTCTTTATAGGCACCTGGAGGCGTTTATTTCTTTTGTATGACTCTTCTACATGGCTAGGTATTAAGTGGCTGGACATGGCCATCCTTCTCGTACCACTCCTGATTGCTCGCACGATATTTTTCTTAATGAAACATGAAACACTTGCTGGAGGTCTGGACAAATGAAAACAAGCACAGGTGTGTTGCATGCATTCATTTGCACGACACACCAGCTCAGAAGATGATGAAGCCAAAGAGAAGTTCATCTTTACAGGGAAAAGGTTCAAATAACTGGTATGAACGACTAGTCTCCAGCAACCATAGTCTCACCGTCTCCAGAAAAAATAAAACATGAATAAAATTAGTTTGAGCATGATAACCAGTTCAAGGAAAGTTAGCAGATTTTGAGCATGTAATTGAAAAGAGGGAACTTAAATGAACTCCAAAATAATCGCATGCATCCATGTAAGGAGGAGATATAGAGACGCAAATTGAAAAACCAAATTACTCTAAGAAACGTCCCAGAATGCAGTCTTAACTGGCTGGTTATAAGAATTCAATAAGAAACAAAAGAAAAGGAGATAGAGAATGCAGACATGACTTGCGAAAAGCCAATGAAGTAATTGCAGATTTAATTACAAAAATATGAAATGAATATCCATCCCAATTGAATTCTTCTCCGTCCTGTGTAAATTCATGTGGGTATGCAAAAAAACACGAACAGAGTGATAGAGCAACAGATGTCAGAAGGTGAAATGAAAATGAGAGGTAGCTGAAATGGTAAAGTTAAGTAAAGGTACTAGCCCAGAAAGAATACTTATACTCCAAAAAACATCCTAGAACGCATTTCAACGAGGCAATGAGTAGTATCAACAAATAGACAAATGCACAAGACAGGCAGACATGACATGCAAGAAACCAATGGAAAAGTATCAGATTCAATTATAATAGAATGAAATCAATATCCATTCCAATCGGGTTCTTCTCCCTCCATCCTGGGTAAATTCCTTCGGCCATTCGAGCATGCAAAGACAGGAGCAGAGTTATAAAGCAGTTGAAATCAGAAAAGGAAACGACATATATGAAAGCAGACCTGGTGTTACTAAAATAGTTACCCTCGAAGCATACCCGACAGCTATGGTGCCAGAATCTCTGCTCTGTCTAATGGCGAGGAGCAATCAGAGCTGGTGGAGGATAGGCTTCCCAAATTGCGGCTTGGAGGAAGCCAGGAATTCGGATGCATATATATATGCACACGCGCAAGAGGAGAGAAGGAAGGTAAATAGGACCCACACTGGTTGGGAATAGTGATCCGTCTCGGAGACCGATAGCCGATAGAGACAGTTTCGAACGGTCAAATGGCGTCTGAATCTGGACACCGTAGCTGGAGCCGCTGGTAGCGGCTGCTTCCCCAGCGGCTGCTCCGGTTCGTTGACACATCCTCACATTTGAGATTTCAATCGAGTTATCAAGGACAAGTAATACTTCCATGCAACTTTATTCCTTTTGCTTTTTTGGTCAGCACATGCATTTTGTTCAATTATCAATATATAACATATGTGTGTATTACTTTTTCTTTTTAATATGTACTTCCTTTTGAAAATTTAAAACATTTTTTAAAAAATTAAATATTAAAAAATATAAAATATTTTTAATTATTTGAAATGTAATCATTGTCTTCTTAAAAAAATGTCTCTATTAATAGTGACTTTATATTTATTATAAAGTTGTAATAAGAGTAAATCTGAAAAGATAAAGTTAGTTTAAAAATAAATAACTACTTTATTGCAAAATAAAATTTAATTAAAAATACCTTATATATTTGAATTGAGGGGGTATGCCTTAACAAATATTTATATATCAATAAAATTTTTAATTTCATTAAAATATGTTGTTATTTTTCTTTTTGCCTTTAATTCTAATCTATGATAAGTGAGAATAAAGTTATAAATTTACAAATACAAGAATTTAACTTAATAAATACAAAAGATAAAATTTATTATGAAAAAAAAAACATATAAGAGGTAAAATAAAAAAAATGCAAATGTTAAGTTACTCATATTTTGGACCAAAAATAATTGAAAGAAAATGTTTATATTTTGAATAAGAGATAGTATAAATTTAAGGCCTTCTAAACTCTTTTCTTTCAATTATATCCTTGTTATTTGGCCATAAGAAGGGCATCCTCGTTTAAGATTTATCATTATTATTTTTGCACTCATATTTTTTATTAATTTTATTTTTTTATAAATTATAGATATTTTTATTAGAGATAATTTTGTCCAAGCCGTAATCAAGCATTAAATATAAACAATGCTTTAATATATGTAAAAAACCCAAGCCAAAAATTTTAAAAAAAAAATTAGATAACAGCAAGGCGAAGGTTGACAATTTGCTATTACTGTTCATTGGGAAATATAAAACTTTGGATATCAAGCTACTTCTGACTACTATTCATGTGAAAAATCTTCTGACTTTGAACCAAGAAAGATTCTTTATCATCCATCCTCAAATCATTGAATGCTTTCTTGAGCGCTGCTTGATAGACAGTTTGAGTTTTTATTCTACATTTATATTTGAAGCTAGGAGTGGACATAATCACATTATTAAAAAAAAAGAAAAGAAAAATGAACGAACCTGGATTTTTATGGATTGGCATTGTTAAGCAGAGCTTTGGTCTATCGAAAGAAATAAATAAATAAATATAGTAATGTTAGTTGAGTCTAATACGTCGTGTCTGGTAAGAGTAAAAAGGAAGTTAGGTTTAGTTCCATGTTTGGTTGAAGGGTGGGTTATGAAAAGCAATATTTCCATTGAACTAAATTGGACATTTGGATCGGAAATAGATTCACACTTCACATAGTCTAACTTGTTAGATTCACGGTCAAATTGATAATGTACTAATTAAATTTAAAAAAACATTATATACATAATAATATAAATGCAAAAACAAATATAAAATTACTACATAACTTAAAAATAAAGTTAAATACTTTAAATTAATTATGAGTTAATAACCCTTATAACATAATATAACATTAAATGATTCTAGGCCAACACTCACAATAGATATTCCTACTGTAGCTTTTTTTTACCTGAATATTTGTTCAAATTAAAACATACAAAAAGAATAAAAATGATTTATCAAAAAATGTGTCCAAAAAAAATAAAAATGAAGGTATTATTATGATAAAGAGTTAAAATTGAAATAAAGTGTACAAACTAAATTCATTTTCACCTTTTCAAGGTTTTTTAAAAATGAGGAAGGTTTTTTTAAGGTTAAAATTAGAACAAAGTGGGGGGCAAAAAAAGAGCTTTTTAGTTTTCACGTAACCATTTCAATTCATGGTTTTTTAATGATTCTCGACCTAAATAACAAAATTTGGTTCAAAAATTAAAGTGGTTTTATAGTTCAAACCAAGCTAGAATAAAGACTGGCTAGCGGTCCAATCAATCAGACTTGAACTGTCGAATCCGGTTTGGTCTTGAAATTATTGATGAAGAAAAAATAGATCCTGATGAGGTGCATGATTTGATTTTTTTTCAAGTAATCAAATTATAAATTTAATATTTAAAACTCACGTATTCTCATGCCCAGACAACTTTTTTTTTTTAAATGAAAGGTCAAGGATAAACTATGCTAATTGAGATGATGAATCATGTCAATATACAAAAATTTTTTACAATCAATAGGCGCAGTGTCAAAAATGAGAACATTTAAATTATCGTTAAAGGCTTGGTGACTCAATCAATCTGCACAATTATTTACTTCTCTAAAGATGTGATAAAAGGTTATAGTCCAGCCTCACATAATGAGATCTTTAATTTTATTGATAGTAGTAAAATGGGTGATTAGTAGGAAATTCATTACAAATTAATGTAAAAGCTTTAGCAGAGTCGGAGAAAATATTAACTTTGTCAAACTTTTCAACCCAACAGATGTTTAGACCTTCCAAAATGCTCATAAGTTTAACTGCTGTGCTTGAATAATATCCTAGATATTTTGAGAATTCTTTAATTCAATTTTTTTATTTGTCTCAGATGAGATTGTCATAAAAAGTTGCATTGTGAATATTGACGGAGCAATCTGTATCCAACCTAACCTGTCCTTTCTTAAGGGGGAGCCATTTTGCTTTAATTCTATCACCCTTTTAAATCAAAAAGTTAATTTTAAATTGGAAATATTGATCAATAAAAATATCGTGGATATTAGCGTGCCCATACAACATGTGAATCCTGAACTTCATACTTAAGGAGGTGACATTATGACTATAACAATTTGTTATCCCAACATGGTTTGATTATTACATATGGAAGCCAATGGTTTTATAAATTGGAAGTTGTGGTCCAGTCTCCTCTAATTCAAAAAGAAATAATATATACTCACTTCATTTAAAAAGATAAAATATTTTTTAAAAAAATTAAATGTTAAAAAATATAAGATATTTTTAATCTTTTGAAATATAATTATTACTTTTTTTAAAAAAAATACTCCTATTAAATGAATCACTTTATATTTATTGTAAGGCAATCATTTTATATTTATTGTAAGGTATTTAATAAAAATAAATATAAAAAATATGATTAATTTAAAAATAAATAATTATTTTATTTAAAAATAAGATTTAATTAAAAATATTTTATATTTTTAAATGAAGGAAAAAAAAATATATATATATATATATATATATTAGATATAGAGGGAATAAGGTTGGGAATCCTTCCGCGAATACCGACCACGACTAGGGAGATGCTAAGTACGAAAGGAACCGTAGAGGGAGAATTTGGAATCGCAAGTGAAAAAGGACAAAGCTGCTGCTTTTAGTATAATGTCATGATTCTTTGTACAACTACTTCACTAAAGACGTTAAAAAAAAAATATATATATATATATATATGTATGTATGTATGTATGAATGTATGTATGTATGTATATTTAACTTACCGTAAACCCTTCATTTTATGCGGGCCCTCACAAAAAATAAAAGAATAAAATAAAATAATTAAAGAGCTTTTTTTAATAAAATAAAAAAATTAATAAATAAGAATTAAATGAAAAATTATCAAATTTGAGCCTTAATATGAGTCTTCACTTAGGGGAAGTCAAATGAAAATTCAATCCCTAAAAATTGCCTTGATTTAAAATAGCAAAAGTCAAATTAAATTGATAACAAATTGTGATTTAATGGAATGTAACCATTAAAGTGAGAAGCCCTAATTTTCATTTATAAAAAGGTAGTGATCAAAGCAAAGAAGGGGAGGCAAAAGAGAGAGAGAGAGAGAGAGAGAGAGTAGGGTTTGAGAAAATAAAGAAGAGATTTTGCTTAATAAAGGTAGAGATAATTATTTTTTCTCTTCTCTTTGCATGATAATATGGAGTTAGAAAAAGAAGAAGTGCATGATAACCATCCACATGTATATTTATGGAAGTACCCTAAGGAAGCAAATGCTTGCTATAACCATGGTTCACGTATGAATCTTAATATTAGCAACTAAAGGTAATTAAAATGTGATCATTCAGTTCTTTCATTTACTTTCGATGTATTTTGTCTCTTTGTCATTTTTTTTCTTTTTTCATTCCCTCTAAAATATGACATCATCTTTACACATATATGGATGCGTGCTTATGGAACCTTTTATTTCCTCTTTCTCCTCTTATTCTCTCCATCTCTTTTCACTGACATCCCATTTATAAGCTCTCATAGAAAGATATAGAATCGTATACATGGGTTTTAAGCATACTCAAACACATACACTTAAATATATATATTGGCTAGTTATTTCTTGTGTCTATGAAGTGGAGATGATTGGAATAATCACGTAAGTTGCTGTAAGTGATAAAGCTCAAAATGTTTGATCCCCTTTTAATTTGAGTTACCTATAGTATTGTAACTTTTTCTAGTACACATGACACCATATGATTTGAGACTTTTATGTGTTTATTTTTTTTAGTATACTATGTGAAATTTTTAAAGTTTCTGCAGTTAATTAGTCTATTGGTATGCTGCGTGTGGTAATGGGCCATCACAAACACACCAATCACAGTGCTTAATTGATTTGTTTTATATTTTTTTTAAAAAATAGAGCTTTTTTTTGTAAATATAAATAGGTTGAAAAATAATTTCTATATGCCGTGTGAGATTTTGGAATTTCTGCAGGCATAAAATAAATTAATTTTTTTGTGAGATTTTGTGAATCTCTGCAAGAATTTTAATTTTATTTAAAAATATCCTATCTTAAATAAGGAAATAATTTTTTTCTAATTAAAAGATACTAACCCAATTTAAAAACCTTTTGAAAAATGAGAAATTCCTTTTCTAAAAAATACTAACAAACATGCATTTTTTATCCTCAAACTACATGAACTTTGATTCTTCTAAATGGTATGTAGGCCCTAGAGTTTCATCCTAAGTCAAGTCCAACTTGTAAATAAATAATATTTTTTAATCATAATTTTCT